AGTTGGATGTTGTTGGGTTTGAAACTGTCCCGTGTGCCACCTCTAGAAAGAAAGGAAGTGTGAGTCTGAACAGGGAGAGAAGATGAGTGCTTGAGAGAGATCCTGGTGACAAGATGTTCCTTGTTAGTCTTATGCCAGTCTTAGAAGGAAACTTCTGCTTTTGATGGTTAGATAAAATAATTTCTTGAATCTTGATTATTGTTGAAATTCTTTTTGATGCATGCTGAAATGAAGTTAGTGAGCTGAGTTCGATTTTACAACTCGGATGACTACTGGAGAAGAGCAGTATTTTTAAAATAATTCCCTCCATGAACTACGGACTGGTTCGCATTTGCTTCCGTAGCCTTTTGTGTAGATTGTTTTCTAAGGACAGACAATAAGATAGGAATTTGTCTAGCGTTGGGAGAAGTGTGGCGCTTGCAAAGTGGGTCTAATCTTCTTATTTGAAGGAGCTTGCAGAACAGTGTAGTAAAGTGCAAGAGGTCTGATTAAGGCTGCCTTAATTATCCCTACATAGTCACTGGGGAGAGGTGGCTGCTACTTAAGAAGCGAGGGACGGAGGAACTGCGCTTCAGGTAACTTAGACGCCTACTGCAGGAATCCCCTGAAGAGTCTTGTTATAAGACTGGTAAATATGTAGTGTTTATGTGAGTCTTACAGTAAATAGTTTTCTTCTGAAGTGTTGTTAGATGTAGAGGTGCTTCAAATAATGAAAAAACAAGCTTTGTTTACTTCAGTCATAAATTATAACTTGTTCTTCTGAGACTTAAATTGCTTAAAACATTTCTCAAGGTTTTGTCTGCTTTGTGCCAGTAAAATAGCTGGGCTGACGTGATGTTATTAATTCTGAATACCGCGAGATTTGATATCTGCTTAATCAAAAGACACAAGTACAGCGTCAAAGTTCGGGACCTGAGTTCAAAGGCCTGCCACGTAAAGTCAATTGCAGATACTTTGGGCTGCTAATCATACGCAAATAGAAGGAGACTGAAGGAGGAAAGGGTAGGTCGATCTGAAACAAGAAGATCATAGATTCACCTGGTTATGTGCACACCTTCATCGGTCCAGTAAGTTGTGATAGTAGGTGTTCACTTACAGGTGACGTGGCAAAATTGGCTTGCAAGTAATTAAACCTCCGAGGGAGGTGACATAGTAACTGCTACTTGCCACGGGCACAGAACATCTTCCAACGGGCAAGTAACAAGAGGCTTGTGAAAAAGGAGAAGGAAGACCCAAAGCCTCACTGAGGGGCAGTGCTGGAGTAGTGGGCTGGGGGAATGTGGAAAGGGAAAGGAGAGGGCCAGATGAGTTTGAGCGATAACTGGTTGGTAAGAGTTACATAGAAGGCAGGTGAACCAGTTGCATGAATTTATTTTTAGGCTTTGCCCTCTTCTGCGAGGTGATGTTGGCTCTCGCCTCTTTTAGCTAAGCCTGTGCTGTGTGACAAATAAACCCCTGAATTACAAAAAAGCTTGTAATTTTTCTTCTGAACTCCTCAGAAGTCTTTACAGGTACTGTTCTCGAATCTCACACCTTTTTGCTCTTTTGGGGAGTAGGGCGTTACCTATGCAAACATTCCTTTAGACCGTGTAAATGGGAGCTCTGTAAGAAGCAGAACCAGTGAACACATTTCCAGTTGTTTTGCCCTGAGGTTGTGCTCACCTACTCTCTGTTAAGATTAAGAGTCACTGCATCAGCCTTTCTCTCTGTTGGGGATGTACCTTTCTCTTATACACATTTGCCTATTTTCAAAAAACCAAAAGGCACGTAAGATAGCTGTCCCACTTGCACTTACAGCTTGGTTGTGTAAGCCTCATTTCCTTAGGAAGCAAAACTAAAAATTCACAGGCAGGTAGATTTAAAAAAAAAAAAAAATCAAGCTTTTTGGATAAATAGAGCAGTGATAGTCTGACAGTACGTTACAGCAGGTGTATTCTCCAAGGAAGGAGCATGGACTCATTTCTCCAGTGAAGTCTGGCATTTAATTTGGAAGTCTGCCTGATGGTGACTGATACCAGATCTTTCGCAGGAGAACAGAGAATCCCTCTGATGGGCAGCTGATATTTAGTGAAAGCCTTATACCCTGAAACGTGAAGGTCTGCATGTCTTGGAAAGTTGTATACCTTTATATGTGCAGTTGGTTAACTATAGGTGATGCTATCCCTAGTGGTGAATATATACATATATATATATATAAAAATTATTTTTTTAACTTTAAACTCATGCTGCTAGTGGCATAGTGTGTTGAATAATTCCATAGGCCATATGCGTTTTAGAAAATGTCTTTGGTTTCTTGGTTTGGTGCCTTTCCATTTTCCTGGTCGTCTTCTGGCTGTTTGTGAAAGGTAAATGAGAGTGTTCAATGTATTGCCTCTGCGGTGTTTGTCAGGTGGGGTATTTTGGAGTTATGCTTCATCAGCATTACCAACCACTGAGCATAAAACTGTGCTGGTCTGAGCAACCGTACTTAAAAGTTGACCGTGTTAAATTTAGTATTTTTGAGTTGGCAATTTTCTTTTTTTTTTTTTTGTTTTCATTTCACTTTTATGTTAAAGCTTAAGCAGCTTTCTGTACTGTTTCTTTCATGGCTACTAGCACAATGCATTGAAGACTGATGTGACATTTCAAGTTGACGTGTAATAATCTTGATTATTGTTGAAATTCTTTTTGGTGCATGCTGAAATGAAGTTAGTGAGCTTAGGTTGATTTTACAACTCAAATGACTACTGGAGAAGAACTGTGAGAGGGATAGTGAAAAAAATAACATCTAATTCTTCTTTAATCTCCATTTTAAAAGTTCAAAATAACAATTTTCAAGTGATGCGTAATCTTCTGTAGTTTTAATTCCCTTTTCTAAGGAAACGAGTTATGTGCAATTGCGCTTTCTGTCAGTTCCTCTGGTAGTTGTTAGTTGCTTTAACATGCTGGCAGATTGCAGCCATCTTTGTCAAAGGGATAGTTCCTACAAGTTATGTGGAAATGATTCCTGTGGAGCAGAAACGAGACTCTCTTAGTGCCGCTTGTGGTAAGAACTCAGCCCTTATTAGACATCAGAGCAACTCTAGAGGCAAGAGAGTTTATGAATGCCTGAACCAGAAGAGGCTTTGCTCTCTTACCTTCTTCGACAAGAAAAACACTTGATGACGAGACATGTGTTTCGACGAAACTTTGAGCGTCGTAATGAATTGCTTGATACAGGGCTGTTTAAAGCAGTCATTCCCTCTATCAAAAGTTTGAGTTCACAGAGTGATTCCGTGCCGCCCCCCAATTCTTCGTGTATGTAGTTTGCCTGAAGCAGAGTAAATGCCTGCCTTTTTTTTTTTTTTCCCCCCTCTTTTTTTTTTTCTTGATTTGTTTGTCATAATCACTTAAAGTCTGCTGATTTAGAGCTGCTCTTTTACAGGAAGCTAGGATAACTTAAAAACAGTGATTGGGGCATCAGAAATATTTTGCACTATCATCCTAGTGTCTTTGAATGCATCTAGGAATTGATAGCTTGGACAAAAAGAAGAGTTGTTTGTTTTTCTTTAGGCAAAATACTCTCTAGGTTATGTTTACCCACTGCACGGGACATTCCACATTGTAAATATGTCTGTACATATAGGTCATTAGTTAGTTTTCTAAAATGTTCATTATGGTTGTCTTTCAGAGATTATGTGAGCTGCTGCGTTAGTCTTCTAACATCTTGCACTGAATACTCATGGTGTGTCTGAAGGACAGATCCCGTGTGTGTTCTGAATGTACCAGGTAAATCCCAATAATAACTTTTCATGGGAGTTCATAACCTGTTAAAGAGTAAGAAGTGAGAGGAGGGCAACTTTTATTCTGTATTTAGGCCTAGTTGATTCTGTAAAAAGGGCCTGACAGGCTGTAGCTTAAAATTTATTTTTGTATTTGTGTGTTATACTATGAAATCAGACAACTGCAACACTAATGCAACTTTTTGCAACAGTAGTGAAAATACAGCGTGTCAGTGGGAGTTAGCCAGTTTCCATAAATACCTTTAAGAAGTTTACTCAGCATTTCTGATGCCTGAGGTAAAGCAGAAGGAGGGAAAATAGTGATATTTTTCAGGTAGATAATTCCCGTCTCAAATCCCCTGTCTCGCCTTTTTGTCCAAGAGAGGCAAAAAATGGACGCAGCCGTGACCTTGGAGAACAGTTTGATTGCCTTTCAGTGGCAGAGGTACTGTTCAGTAGCTGTGGTGAATAAACTCTTAGCTTGACGTATTTCTGGCTAGCATATTGCATTGTAAGTAACTAATATCACATCCATTAATGTGCCATTAACCTAATTGAATGTTTCATTTTCAGGTTGTCCTCATGAGTACTCCAGTGGAGAATGTCCATGATCTTCTTTGCCTGTGTGGTGCGGGTGAGGGATGGACTTCCCCTCTCAGCCTCCACAGATTTTCATTTCAGCCAGGACTTTCTGGAATGCAGAAAGAGATTAAAGGCGTTATCCTCAATTCTGGCACAGTATCCAAGTCGAGGCACGGCAAAAGGACGTGTCCTTAGCATACAGTAAGTCCCTGCTTTTGGTTGGTTGTTTTTTTGACTTCAATTTTTGAAATGTTTGTCGTGGGGATTAGTTGAACTTTAAGGATTAGGTGTATCCTACAGTGCCTAACTCCAATCTGAAATCCCACCGTGCATGTCTAGATTGTAACCTCCAAGCAGTATTTTGAAACCTTCTTTCTCAGCACCACAGCCACACAGCTCCTACTCAGTTTAGTAAGCATATGTTAAGAATTGCTTATTTTAGTTGTCATTTTTTGTAGCAAATGCTTTCTGCTCAATGGGCAGTACTTGTTACTATTAACAATTGGAGTATCTTGGACTTCTACAAATACCTTCTGAGATGTCATCCTAGTGCCTGGGAATTACTTGCTTTAGTCTAAATCTCAAACCCTTTTCTTCAGTGACTGTCAAGTCTTGCTGATGCCTTCTCCAGGCTCCTACACTTCTGATTCTGGCTTGCACAGAACTGCCCTGGCTCCCTCTACGTGCTGCCCACTCCCTTTTCTGAATACCAGCAGGGTTCAAGTGTCTAGAAGCTCTGGCTGATGCATGTGTGCTGAGGAGGCCTGAAGCACGCTGACAATAGGCAGTATGGAGAAATTATAAATCTTTGTTTTTATTTATTGGAGAAGGATCTGCTAGTCTTTATTTTAAGAAATTAAGCTTTCATTCAGAGGTAGTAATTTTAATTTACTATTGATTTTAGTTTAGTTCTAAAAACGAGTTTTAGCTTGTGATCCCATTTCTGGTTAGCAAATGTAAGAAAACTTTAAAGTGACCCCGAGCTGAAACTAAGTATCCCTCTTTTGGAGTAGTGATTGGAGAAATAAGATACGTGAACTTACACTGGATCAATTGGAAAAGCAGAGATTAGCATTTTAATTCATTTTCCCTCAAGGTGAACTTGTGCCCTTTAATGCTAACGTGTTCTACTGCTTTTAATCTTCTGTGGTCTCTACCGAAGTAGCTATGCATCTGGCTCTGAAATGAGAAGAGTGCAAACGGATACGTGGCAAAAAGGCTATAAATTATTGACAACTGGGAAAAGGTAGTTTTACACAGCGTGGTGTTGATCCTCAGCTGTGAGCTGGGGACAAAAGGAATTTAGGGAACGTACCCAGTGCAACTGGGCTGTAACGGAGCTAATCAAAACCATAAATCCCAAGTACGTAGTACAATGAATAAATGAAACTGTGATCAAATAGAAAACACGAGTATTTCTGTATGAGAGGGATGAAATATATAAATAGTGGAAAAGAGAGAAAATAGAGAGTAATAGTTCAGCTGCAAAGCTTTGGTTTTATACTGAAATATTGCTAACAAATGGCTAACCTATAAGGGAAGATTTCCTCAGTCTTCTTTCAGAGATAATTACAAATCCGTAATTATGGTGGGGATTATGGAAGTTTAGCTGTCTACATTATGAATGCTGACATCTGAACTAGGTGCCCTGACTCCCATCTTATTTAATGAAGCCTGGACGAGAGTGATTTATATCATCCTTAAGGACATGCCTGCATTTCGGTCAGCTGAATCCCCTTTTAAGTTTCCTAGAAGGCTTTTGGCCTATCCGTAAGTGGGAACTTCTACATAAATATGGCTTCAGTGTTAGAGGGACCCCTTTTGGAGCAGAATTTTTATTGTGCTGTTTCTGGTACAAACTCATCTTTATTTGCTACAGATAGATGACTTAGCAGTAACAGTGTTTGAATATCTTGGTTTGTGCAAGTTAACAAATATCTCTTGCTGTTAATAGGAAGCTGTCATATTCAAGGGGAGCGAGGAATGCATCTGCTTGCTTCCTGTGAACAAGCGTGCTTGTTTTTCCTTTTGTTTGTGGAAAGCCACTGTGTTTTCTTTCAAAATCTTCTTGCCTGTGATGTTTTCTGGCCATCTCTTTTCTTATTAACATGATTTAAAGCCAGCCTGAGAAAATAATGTCCTCAATTTGTACTGAGGTAGCAATTTAATAAAATCTGTATTGCGATCTTTAGTATGCTAGGGCATACTGAATGAGTTGGAATAAGTGTTAGATCTGCAGGGGCTGCAGGACTATTCCAGCAGTGCGAACAATATATTTTTTGCAGTCTGCTCTTTCAGCGCAGTCTATACATTTTGTTTTGACAGAAAGCGCAGTTTACTTCTCATGTTCAGCATGACTCTTCTACCTTTTTATGTTGATGTTACTATTTTTTTTGGTTTTTTTTTTTTTTTCCTATTTCAGTTTCCTTTCTTCTGGGGATATTGCCTGCATGGCAATCTGTTCCAGCAATTACTCAACCATCATGGCGTTTTGCTTCCTGGAAGAGCTTCAGTGGGAATTTGCTGCTTCCTACGATACAACAAGCATCAGTTTAGCTTCCAGACCGTATGCTTTTCTTGAATTTGGTTTGTAACTTTGTTCTCTAATAGTAAGAATTCTTTCTCTGCTACTGTTATGGTGTTGAACAGCGTCTCCTGGCCAAAGCCTGATCATAAAAATTTATCTGTGTGTTTCCCTTTGCATGCATATATAGGAGAAGGGGGAGATCTTGTAACTGCATTAAACTATTAGATTATTGGTTTTGCAGTTCCTGAGAGCCCCTGTAATAGATGAACAAAATGCCATGGTGATTAATAAACAAGCACAGAAGAGAAAGAAATCCATGTCTCAAATGCTTTCTAACTTAATTAAAAAAAACCTGACAAGTGGAGACAGATGGGTACAGGAAAAAAGGGAGACAGAATAGATTATTATGGGCAGCTTTACTTCTGGCATGACTTAGATTCACATAATACTTCATAATCATGCCTAGTGTTTCTTTTTTAACCTGATATAAATGGTTTTCTTGCCAAGTAGCAGCTGTCTACTGAACTTCACAGCTTTGAAAAACACAATTCCTTTGCAGTGAGAAACTCTCTTCTGGGAAAGGATAAGATATTGCAGTGGGTTAGCACACTTCTATCCAGATTTCAGTAATACTCTTAAGCTCGTGCTTAAAAGATTGAGAAATCCACAAGGAAAGCATATTTTACAGCCATCTTGTATTTTGGTTGGATTCCCTGCAGGGCACATTCCAGGCATGATGTAATTTTATGCTGAGATCCAAGTTACTTCTTTTTTTAACTTGATTAGAAAATTGGGAATTTCTAGCCCCTTTTAAAGAGCCTTATGCAATTTTAAAGAAAAAAAAAAGGCAAATTTTCTTTTTATTTTTACCATTATACTGTATTTTCTTACTGAGTCTGCCTAATGTTGCTGTGTGCTTTTTTTTTTTTTTTTCCTTCTTTCCTGTGTTTGGATCTAAGATGCTCTTGATGCATAAGATCTTAACCTTTTGCCTGGTAGTTATAGATAATTATAGCATGCTGACTTAAGGTAAAATACAGGATTTTTCACTAAGGAATGCTTATGGCACTGTGTACTCTAGCACAACATAAAGTCCTCCTGTGTGGTCTTAAAACTCACGCTTAAACTATTACATATATATCATATCCGGTAGTAGCTGTGGTCAACCTGTGCAAATCTAGTGTAACCATATCTTAAAGATATGGATTTTTCATATAGGGTATCTTGGCAATATAAATGTTTCTGCATTTTATTTCCCTAAGCGTTTGAAATAGCTTGAATTTGCCAGTATCTTTGCACAATTAAATAGGAAGTAGCAGTTTCCACAGTGAGGTGCTTCAGCTCTGGAGGTGTGAGCAATTCGTACTTGGACAAATTCTCTACTTAGTCTCAGCGCAACTCCTGTCAAACCAGCAGCCACATTTGTGGAAAGGGATTTGCTTGCAAATGGTATTAAAATTAAAGTATGAGAGATGAAGCAGGGTGATCTGTATGTAGATCTGTGGCTTGGGTGTTGGTGGAATCACTGTGGAATTACCTCTGCCAGTCAGAGTTGCTTCATGACTCAAATAGAGGTTGAATTAATTTATCTCTGTGCCGGAAAAAAACTAATCCTTGACATTGTTAAAACACAATGTGGAATTGCTTCTCATGGTAGTTCATGGGTAGTTTAAGATCCAGATTACATCTAGCGTGGAATATGAAAGCTGCTTTTCATCCACTGGCAGGCAGGATTTTGAGATTTCAAGTATCCAGAAGGGAATGGGTGTGATATAAAATACCTAGGAAAGGTATTTTTGTTCCCTAACCATCGGTGGTATCTTACACCTGAATAAGAAATGAAAAACAATCAAAAAAGAATGCCGTGATTTGATTAATAATTACCTAAAGCGCTTAACTTTTGCAGAGCTAATTGAAGCATGTTTTTATATTGTTTCAGATAACATTATTCAGAAAGTGAAATGCCATTTTAACTGTGTGAGTGGCTCTCACATGAAGGCCAGCTGGGAGAAGATTAAGGAGGAGCTGAAGTTCCGGCCCCCGGTTCAGCTGAAACTAGAAGATGCAGAGCTGATGAATGGGATGACCAATGGTGGGCACGCAGGCGTTCATGTGGAGGTTGGTAAGTTACTACTACGCACAGGTGACAGCAGACTTCCTGAACCTAACTTTGCAAACGACAGAAAAGCATGTAACAGCAGTGGTTCCTTTTGCACTGAGAAATATATATATCACGTGTGTGAAACCCAGGAAAAAAGACTGCCTTTCTATCATAGTAGATAACATAAGGTCTTTAGATTGTAGGAGGTATGTGTCAGAGCCTTTAAGGACTCGTAGTGGTGTCTTTTTTTCCAGCCTTAGATCAGCTTCTCTGTATGGCCAGTTGGTTGTAACTGGACTTGGCGTTCTCCATGTTAAATTCTCCTGCTTTTAAAGTAGTTTGTTAAATTTTCTATGACAAAAGAAGCTCCGCTAATTCGTTGCTTGTTGCAAACTCTAATAAAAGATACGTAATTACAGTCTCAATGAGTCGCTTCAGCCTTGAGGAAAGAAAAGATGAGAAGAATAGGGTAAAGGATAAAACTCTCATTCCCAGACTGTCTGTCTTGGGTTGTTCTCCCCTCTTTGCTTTCTCCTTTTACCTTTAAAATTTAATAGATTTGACTAAAATCCTGAAAGAGAATATGTATATCTGTATAAACAACATGTAAAGGCTTGACAAGGGACCTTTTTGTAATGAATACGGACATTTTACCTGCTTTTAGAAGTACTGACCTCTACTTATTTATTGTAAAATTGGTATCTTCTTATTTGTGTTTCGGTTGCATAGTCAAAGTCCTGCCTACTTCCTCAGCAAAATTAAATGCTTTTAATCCTATTAGCATGGCAGTTTAAATGCAGCTGGAGTGCCATGGGCTTGTATTTCCTCTTTTTTTTTTTTTTTTGGTTGTTCTTGGCTTATGAAACACTAATAAAATTAGGTTCCAGTTCTCAGTCTTATTGTTTCTGATGGATGAGCTGGAATCTAATTTGACATAGGTATTTTAAGTTAAAATATAGAGGGGCAGTGGCCAGGAGGAATTAAAAATAGAATTGAAAACATTTTATTTGCCAGTCAGATTTGTGAGTGCTCCTCAGAATTGTGCTTGAAGGTTAAATATTTTCATGATGTGATAGGGCTTAGAAATCCTTTGCACTAGCGTGAACAGTTTCAGTGCCAGTAAACATTTGCAAGCTAGTCTGAACATTTGCAAGCTAGTTTGTGTCCACAGATCAGAAATACGTTTTCTGTTCCCCCATATTCTTAATTGCTTTCTTTTACTTTCCATCTGGCTTTGTATTTCTGGCTGTTCCCTCTGATCTAACCCAAATACTCTTACAGATTGTTCTGCTTTTATTTTAAGGATCGTGCTTGTGATCATCTGTTTCCCTCAGCTGGAGTCAGCTTTCCTGGCTTATGTGTCTCTCATCATTACCTACCAGCTGAATCCCACTTTGCTGCTCTAAGTTTAGCTGTGTGGATAGTGTTTGTTCCCATATTAATGTTATTTATATTATGGCTCTACTGTATGGGAGACTTCTTGAGCATGCGTTGAAGTGTTAAGGTTGCAGGCGAGCAGAATTTAATTGTGTCTGCGCTCTATAGTGAAGACAGATCAATCAGTGGATTGATCAAAACGTCAATCTCCTTACGTGGCTGTGGCTGGTTCCTGTCTTCTTTTGAGCTGTGTGATCACATCCCTTGGCTCTTCATTTCAGTGTGAAAGGGGTCTGAAAAGTTAGGGCAGTTTTGTCCTTGTTAGTTTATATGGCAACAAGAGCTTTTTGTTTTTAAATTCTTTCTTCTATTTGTTCCTTAGTTTATTAACTAAACCCAGCCCAATTCTTGCTAGAAAGACACTAGCATTGTATCCTTCGTCAACATCTAAACAACCTCAGCTGTTGTTGCAAAAGCCTCACCTTGTGTCTTGATTCTGGCACAGCTGATAAAGCTCTGGAGGACAGTGTGGTATGTATACAGAAGAAATGTGAAGTGTAAGTAGCTTTCTGTGAAGAGGGAGAGTTTTCGCATCAGAACTGGCTCTGTGAAGTAGGAGAACAACTTGCGCTATTTGTCTAGTAAGCATGCTGTTAAACTATGCAGCATTGTGCTCTTCTTGATGAATGTTCTTAGTCTTTTGTAGGCACACAGGGAGTCCTTCACAGAATCCTTTTTAAGGTGTTTTTTGAAGATGTCTCACATCTCTGTCTTTTGTGTGCTTGTATTTTATTTTTAAAATGTTTGAATCTGATTTCATTTTTCACTCCTGGTGCTGTCTTTATCTGGAGCTTTGAGTATGTGACTCATTGTCAAACCCTTGTTGTGCTGTGCCTTGAAGAGACAGAATGGAGCGTGGTGGAGGCATTCATGTCAGTCTCTGGCTCGATAGCCAGAGGCCTCTGCTCAGAAAATCCTTTATAGGCAGAAGTTTCGATTTCTTCATTGTGTGAGGGTGTTTTCACACAATTGCTCTGTACCTGTTCAAACCGGCAGATGCGTTTTACCTGGGTGCTAGATAATCCACAGTCCCCAGAACATCGTCTGTATGGTTCTTGTACTCTGAAGTGCACAACTTTTCTGCTTGAAGAGTCAAATCAGTCTGAAACCCAATTAGCGTTTAATTGTGCAAAATTGTGTTGTCTTGGAATAAGAGTGCTTGTACTCTCTTGTTCCCTTACTTAATGTAATAAGCAATTCTAGTATGAAATTCTGTTTATAAAACTATGATTGAATTTGTACAAGGAACTGTAATAATTTTTCCCTAGCAGTACCCATCTCGCTTGTTCTGTGCAATTTCAGTTTGTGCATTAAACCTCAGAATGACATAGCAGGAATAAAGCTCCAGAGCAAACAATTTAAAGATCAGTTTTCACAGAATCTGAACCGAGCAACTGGACATTGTAATCTCCCCTGCATCTGTAATAGCAATTCTTTTTGTCCTACTGGACAAAAAAACCCCATAACTTTTGCATAATATTCCACACTACAGAAGCAATGTATTGAGACTTGCGTTGTTCTTCCCTGGAGACCGGGAACTCTTGACATGTACGGTTTGCAAGATCCTGTACAATCAGTGACACTTGTGCTTTGATAATTGTTTGAGAGACACTGTGTGCCTCTGAAGTGAACCTTAGAAACTGAGGGAGAAGAAGCAGTAGTCTTTATTAGGAAATTTCTGTGAGAGGGAGATACATAGCTGCAATATTATTCAATTTGGGTGGGAGTGTTGATCTGTTCGAGGGCAGGAAGGCCCTGCAGAGGGACCTGGACAGGCTGGACTGATGGGCTGAAGCCAACTGCATGAGGTTCAACATGGCCAAGTGCCGGGTCCTGCACTTTGGGCACAACAACCCCATGCAGCGCTGCAGGCTTGGGGACGAGTGGCTGGAAGGCTGCCTGGCCGAAAAGGCCCTGGGGGTGCTAGTTGCCAGCCGGCTGAACGTGAGCCAGCAGTGTGCCCAGGTGGCCA